TGCCACTTCCATGCTTCTCTCTCTATCTCCTGGCCCTGTCTTCCAGGGCATCCTTTCTGTGCCCTTTAAACATGAAGATAATGACTGAGATCACTGTGGTTATTGCCCCGAAGTCCACTTGCTGTCTAAGGGGTTGACATTAGGCCCAGAGATCCTGGGAGGCCTACTGCAGAGGGGCAGGTCTAGGTGGGGAATCCGGCTGGTCTAAGATCACCTGGAATTGAAGAATGCTGCAGGTTAAGAGGACTTAAATCTGAAGCTTGGAAAGAAGGAATTCTGTCAATATTCTGCTTTTAATTTGTATTTTTTTCCATGTGCTATTATTTTTGAGCTATAAATTTCTCCTTCTGTCTACACATCTATTTATACCCACACATCTTCCAAGCAAACTGTTACTTCCACACTCTTGCAAAATGGCTATCTTGCAGAGTTCTAAAATGCTGTGCATGTGGAAGGGGTGCAGGATTCGACACGTGAGCCTTTGTGTTAAACAAAGAGATGTGCCGTTTGCATGTGTGAGTCTTGTACCCTCAGAACAGAGTTCATACTTTAATTTTTCCTCCTCTCATCATTTTTTACGATATGTGAAATGGGGTTTGGCAGTATTTGCATGCACTTGAAAAGAGAAATAGCAGGAGAAATGGAAAAGACTTAGCTAGTGACTCCTCAGCTAGTCACTCATGTAATCCAAGACAACTCCTGAGGAAATCAGAATATCCATGTGCCGAAGGGCCTTGATAGTGAGCTGGCTGCTCCTCTCCTTGGTCCACTGGCCATATATCCCCAAACTCTGAAGGCACCCAAATGCAGCACTCAGGTCGACATAAAGATCCTCAAAATAATGTAGTAGAATCATTAGCATCAATAATCTTTCTTAAAGTATTCTCGCCCACCCCCCAAAAAATCTTTTTTTTGGGTATTTTTTTATAACAATACTTAGAATTAATCTGAACTACTGAAGGGGTGTGGGGGAAGTAGCGGAAGGTCCTTGTTTCTCAGCATCACAGTAGAAGGTAGTTCTTCATTGTCCAAAAAGGATGGATGTGATCCAAATGTGCTACTCCCCTGCCCCTGGTTTTATTCCTTTGAACCTTGATTGCTTAACCATTAATCTGTAACCATGGTGTCATCAGAGTGCGAGGGTGGGATCCCACTTTGAACCATGTTCTTGTCATGTCCACAAATAGCTGAGGTTATCTGATGTGTGCTCACCTTAGAGACACCTGGGCTGGTTCTGCATCTGTTTCTACTCCTTCAAGTGGGAGGATGAACTCTAAAAATTACTTCAAAATAGAGTAGAGGTATGGGTGAGAAACGCAGCTCCAGGTGTGCTGATCTCATAGGTGCAGGTGGGCAAGGCAAGGTGGGTATCAAAGGACACATGCCCTCTTCTGCATTCTTGGTGCCAACGACAGTGCTCTGCACTGAGTAGGTCTTTTGTCACGTTAGTTGGTGATGAGGTTGACAGAAGTCCTTTCGACAGGGTCTCAGCCACATTTGCCTTGGTTGTTAATGAGATGAAGCCAGGTTCTGGGGAAGCATTAGTCAGCCCCAAGACTAGGCAAAGGACAAGAGGTGAAAAGGAGAGGGTGCTGAGGAAGAGGAGGACCAAGAGATGAGAAAGCTACAAAGAGAAAAGAATGGAATTCCTACTGGAAAGGGCTTCTGAGGATCCTAGGAGGAATCCCCACAGGTGGTCTGTATCTTTTCCACACCCAAAGCCATTTTGGGGACCCTGGAGAGGAGGAAGGTGTTCCTGTCCTCCCGAGCAGATTTTGTGTGCTCAGTGGTGTTCTGGGCTGTCTCGGGACCATTCTTCTGTCTTTTTTCCTCATAGCACAAAGAGCTGATGGGTTCTATTTTGTCTTCTCTCCTTCACACGCCCCCTCCCCTACAGTGTGGGTTACAAGGGGAAGAGATGTGGTTGCTGGTGGGAGGGATAGAGAGAACATTTAATATTAATTGAGGAACTTTCAAGATGTACAATTAAGAAAAAAATTAATGGGAAATAAAGATTTCCCAGGAAAGCACGGTTGAGGAGGTTAGATTGGTGATTTCAAGGAAATCAGAACAGCATGGTTGTCTTCTATCTCCGTGTTTCAGGTGTAGCGAAGCAGGATGGACCGGTGAACACAGAACAGTATGGCCTCTGAGAGGTAGATGTTAGCATGCAAAGAGAGGGCAGGATGTGTACCCCTGGATTGTGTAATTTCTTCTCTCCTTTGGTTCCATCCCTAGGAAGCCAGCCTGTCTGAAAAGTCTTGCTTTGCTACTATATGTGTGTAATTTATGACAGAGGTGAATGTAGGCAAGAAGAATAATAAGGAAACAAAATGACAGAAGAGGAAAAGGAGGAAAAAATTGTCTCTAGTCACTACTTTGCACACCCAGTGCCTTTCTATTTAGGCTGAGTGAGAAGAGCGACTTCCTCTGGTGAAGGGAGGAACAGCAGGCACCTTGATTTTGTATTCTTGCTTCACCTCCAGAAAGATGGCTTTAGACTGACCATCTTCCTTGACCTTCATGTACACGCACCCAGCCTTGTGTGTGGAGAGACAGTGGGCACCTGGGAGGTGGAAACATGGACTGGAATTGGTTGGTGGGATGAGTGGCTCTTGATAGGGAGAAAGGACCCAGCTGATCCAGCCCTTGGCCACATCACCGTTAACTTGGAAAACATTCTCCCATCTCCTCCATGGATATGATGAATTCAGGATTTCCCACTTCACCCCCTATTTTCTTGTTTAAAAACATAAAAATGAAGGTGACATGTCCACTACTACTAACAGGTTAAAGCAAAAATTTCATTAATATTTATGGACTATGAAATACAGAAGGAGTCAGGAGAAAGGAACCATAGCAAACAAATCTGCCTATAGAAGCCAGGGACCAGGAGGGAGCCAGGGTGAAACGTGATCTAAAGGTTGGAAAACTATTGTTCTGAATGATAGTCTTCTCTCCTTAACAGTGAAGCCCGGGGCTGACAGAACACCTCACCTCCTGTAACTTGCTGGTGTCAGGAGTGAACAAGCTCCTTTTCCTCACTACTACCCTACACCATCCTAAGCATTCTAGAAATTTCGTCCTTTCCGTCAACTACATTTCCAGTCTCTGGCACTGTGCATACAATCGGATCTCTGTAGATAAGTATAGATCAAAAGAGTTACTGGTCTAATGAATTGTTTGCATTTATTAAAGAGCATCTCCTCTTTGCAACCACAAGAAGTCTCCAGGGAGAGTAGATTAGCGGTTGAATTGATATTGTCTTTTGGAGGGACGCAGAGCATAGAAGGACCGATGAGGGAGCAGGCACCACTCAAAGGAGGCAGGTTTCTGAGCTTTACCTGTGGCTGTCCATGGTATGTCTGCGGCCATTACATAAGATTCATTAGGTGGATGTGTTCTTGGGGTCCTGTGAACCCAAGAGAGGTGTGTTCAGGAACCTTTGGTTGGTTCCTTGTTACTCTCCAACTACCTTATTTCCGTCTTTTCACTTTCTAGTACTTTCAGCTGAAGTTGTCAGAGAAGGGACCTAGACAGAGCATATGCTGATCCCTTGTTGAAATCCTCCCTGACTGCCCCAAGCAGAATAATTGCTCTGCCTTCTGTGCACCGCCAGCACCTGTTTGCAGTTAATAGTACACATTATCCTAATTTTGTTAACATGCCCTGTTTCTTTAAGAAGTTTGTGAGCCCCTCAAGGGCAGGTATGGATGTGTTATCAGTTGGAATCATTGCACAGTGACTGGCACATAAAAGATAGTTAAAATATTAAACAAATGGATAAATATTAAATTAGTAGATGATGCTATTTGTTGTTTGTTCTCATCGGTACAGGAACAGTTTGAAGTTATGATGCTAGATGAGATCAACAATATCAGAGCTCTGTGACCCGTTAGAAGGCGTGTACTCTGACCTTCTCATTTAATAGATGAAGAAGTCGAGATTCAGGGACATCGAGTTTTCTGCTTATGGTTGTGTAGCTGCTTAGTGTCAGCACTATGTGCACCACATAATTGACTACAGTGACGTGTGGAGGTTCTCCATGGATTTCAAATACCTGCATTAGCACTTCTCAAATTTGATTGTCTATAGGAGTCACCTGGGGACCTTGTTAAACTGTACATTCTGATTCAGGTGGTCTGACGTGGTACCCAAGATTCTGCATTTCTGGCAATCTCCCAGGTGGCTGGACCATGCATCACAGGCCTATATCATTCCTGCACCTAATTCCATATCATGCTTAACATTGGCAGTTCCACATATATATTCTACTTTTGGGACTTCCAGCATTTTCTGCTTTATTCTTAAAGGTAAAAAGAGAAAAATCAGAAAGGAACCTATGTATTTACGTTCACCCATCTCCTCTCTACGATCACTCCCCTACCATGTCCATCTTTTGCCTCTTTCCCTTCCATCCTCTCCTCATTCTTATTCTGGCCCTTCTCATAACTGATGATTTCCTCCTGCTTCTGGGCTTATCTATTTATTGTCTCTTAGTTTCTTTTCTTTTACATTATCTCTTTTTTAAACTTTATTTTATGCCTTTTTTCTGTTCAATTATTTAACAAACGTTTATTAAGAACCAATATTTGTCAAAGACTGTGTT